CCCTTTTGCGAAAACCCCCCCCAAAAAAAAAAAAAAAAAAAGGTTCAAGTCACCTGCACCCTTAGTGTTTCTAATGCTTAACTCATGTTTGGACCCCTTGAAAAAAAATTGAGAGAATACAACATGCTGACTTAAGAAAATAAAGGTAGCAAAAATACAAAATTAATAGAATCTTCTCACAGAATCCCATCATGTGAACAGGGAGGTTATGGATGCAGATGTCCAGTAGGTGTTTGAAGATCACTCCCGTAATGTCATTTTAATTCTGTAAGTCTCCTCACGGGTAAAATAATTAGGAAACTCTATCTAACAAACTCTGTTCACTTCTGTGGCTGCTTAATGAATTAACACAGATTTGAGAGCTAAAAGGGATAGGAGTTTGTTTCACACGGTCTGGAGGCAGTGGTCAGAATCAGACCTCTGGGCAGGGAATGAGGTGTTGGCAGGTCAGCCTCAGGTCCAGAGGCTCAACGAAAGCCCCTTCCAGCACCTCGCCTGCAGCAGTCTTTGGCTTTTTCAGTGTTAAGAAGCCACTGTATTCCTTGGCTCATGGCTTCCTCGTCTGCCTTCAAGGCCAAAATATAGCTTCTTCCAGTCTCTCTTTACTGTCATCAGCTCCCTTCTGTCTTCTGTTCCTGTGTGTCATGTCTTCTTCTGTCTCCCTCTCACAAAGACATGTTATGGCATGTCTGCACCCACCGGATAATCCAGGGTAATCTCTCCATCTCAGGATTTTCGGCTCAATCCTATGTGCAAATATCCTCGTTCTTTATGAGGGAACAGTTACCGGTTCCAGGATTCGAATGTAGTCTCTGTAAGGGGCCATTGTTCGATGGTTCAGACTACTGGCCCCTAAGATTCACATCCATCCACATGCAAAGTACTTCACCCAGTTTCAGTGTTCCCAAAGTTTCAACCAATGGCAGCTTTAAATCAAGTCCTGTCACATCAGCTCAAAACATCTAGATTATCAAAATCAGATATGGATGAGATGCTGAGTATGACCCATGTGGGCAAAATTCCTCCATAAGGTATAGACCTGTGAAACTGGAAGGCCAGCCATCCTCCTCTGGGACAAGCAGAGGGTAACAGGTACACACTGTCATTCTAAAAAGGAGACAATGGAAGGGAGAGAGAATCCACAGTGCCAAGGCATCTTGAAACCCAACAGCATAAATTCCCTTGTTCTAGGCCTGGGAAGAATCCCCTGTGGCCCTAGCCTCAGCCTGCTGGCCTGGAATTCTGCCCCTGGCTTCTCCTTTCTTCTTCCCGAAGGCTAGCCTGTGTTTGCAGCTGGGTAGTTTCACCTGCCTGGGATGCCAAGTTCAAATTTCAAAGTCCTCCTTGAGCCACAAAAAAAGGCCGTAGCTTTGGGCTGGGCCCTTCTTCAAAGCCCCTACCAACAGTGTTCTGTGTTCGATAGTGTTTGCAACGTAAGTCTGACCACAAGGCTTTGGTTAAGAGCTCCGTGCAGAAAACCTGCAGCTCATTAGGCCCGCTATTTGAAACAGCACCCAGCAATTTGCAGAAGGGTGAGGGTTAATTCTGGCTGCAGGAAGAGGCAAAATAATTGGGAGGTCTTGTCTCCACCATTTCACAGTTGTGCAATTTTTAATGTTATTTTTAAGCTTCAGGTTTATTTTTCGTAAAATGAAAAAATCATACTAGCTTACAGGATTATTACAAAGAGTGAATTAAATGAGGACATTTGACAAATAAAAAGCACTCAAGGAAGCAGCCCTAACAGTTACCGACGCGCTGCTGTGCACCCCCTGAGCAGCTTCTGGTAACATACATTTGTACAAGAGGCTGGGCGGTTTCGAGAGTTCTTTGCCATCCACAAAATAGTTGTTAATAAAATAGCATCTCATGTCTTTTATAATATTAAAGAGCTGTCATATTGTTTCACTAAATACAACTTTTTAATTGGAGTATATGATAGCGATTTTGCATTTGAGGAAGAAATGGTGGAAGAAAACAGTTATTGATCTTCATAAATTTGCATGCGTATTAATGGGTTTATCAGAAGACAAAAAACGAGATGGACGGACCAGCTTAGCCAAGCAGCGCTGCTAAGGCTGGAGACACCAAGGAAGTGGCAGGTGGGGAGGCGCAGAGAAGCTCCCACACTGCCGGGCCAGGCACCCGGGAAGTGACAGAGGGCGCACGCGTGTGTCTGCTGACACAGCCCTTAGTACAGTAGAAGCACACACGTAAAGGGACACCCAAGAACATCACAGCGGTGTGTCCTACTCTTGGTCCCTCCTGCAGAAGTCTCATTACTTACTGGCTTTGCAGACCAAAATCACACCTGAAACCTTAAAATCTGTGTTCTGAACCACAAGAATGGGAAAAGCCTTCGCTCTTTAACTGAGTAAATCGTGTAACATATCGCATACGCCTGATGCTTGGCCATGGGTTTCTCGTCTAGGGGCTCTTATTAACGACGTATCAGAGGTGAATTCTATCCACAGAGACCTTCGAAGATGGGCAACTGTCTAATTTTCTTCCAATCTGCAGAGGTTCCTTTCCCACCTCTTCTACATGGGCTTCGTGGATTCTGAACCCAGTAGGGACTGTCCCTGGGCTCCCAGCAGGTTTGGGAACCTCTTCCCTGTCTCCTTCCCTGTCCCATGATGTATAACTCACCGAGAACTTCCACAGGCCCCCGATGTCATCGCTCCTCTCAAAGCAGGTGGGCTCCAGCCCCTCCTCCAGGCAGCTCCTGATGGCGGCCAGGCCGCTGACGCCAGCTCCGATGACGGCCACTCTCTTGCCCATGGTTCCCTGTGTGAAGGCCCCAAGAGCATGTCTGGCAGTAGCATCGTGGAAGTAAACTTACACTGATATCTTTGGCCACCGCTCTTTGGCTTAATTAACAATTCACTGTTGCACCAAAGAAAGGAACATTAAAGTAATAACTTGAAATTCCTAGATTATTAGATTTTGCATTTCTCTTTAAAGATGACTATATTTTGTTCCCCAAAAAGAAATGCTTTGGCTTTAGTCGGCTCTTCAAACTGATGAGACCGATGACCTAGCATATGTATTTATCTTGTTGTCTCTGCCTTTTGTTATGTACTCGTTCCCGAAGACAGAGAGCAGGAGAAATAACAGAAGTTTCACAACTAAAACACAGTCCGCCTCCCCAAATACACACGTGAATGTGTATAAACACACACGCACACACACACACGTGCACACACATACATACACACTGGATTTTACTCCTACTTTGATGTAGGACTTGCGCAGCAGGGCCTGGGCTTGTCTGTATCCCAGTATGCCAGGGACGCACCCCTTTTCCTCCTCTAAGAACTTCCCTCACCTCAATGAAAGAGTGAAGTCAAGGAGTTACCTGAAAATAACTTTTCCCCACTCTCTGGGAAAATAACATTTCCTGATCTTCTTCTGTTACTGATCCTATTTTAGGCTCTACAATTACTTCCCTCCCAATTGTTTTTTCTTTATAGACAAAAATCACAGATATACAGAGAAATAACCTAGGAAGGTGACCCTCATGATCCGCGATTCTCGGGAAAAGGAAACAAAACCCTACCTGCCTCAGCGAGCCGTTCTCACTGGGCTTTGCTTGGCAGGAAATCGCAGCAGCCTCCTTCACATCCAGTCTCCCTCTCCTCCCTTCCCACCCTTACAGCATCCTTCTTTCTTTTTCTACCTTTTCTTTGTCGTCCTTTCTTCTGTAAGTACGTCTAAGTTCTGTCCAAGTCTCCTGGGAAGCTTGAAAGAGAAAATGCTCTCTTGCACCCACACTGTGGGGGGTAACTGGGGGTGGGAGGAGTTGCCTCACGGACAGAGGTGTTTCCTGGGCCTCCAAGAGGGAGCATGGGCCAGTGCCTGTGAGGGGTGGGGCCCCGCCAGTCTCTGTGGCCACTGGGTCCTGCTTTCCCTTAGTTAGGATGGACGTCCCCCGGGAGGCTCGGCCAGCGAGGCCCGCTGCTTCTCCCAGGTGACTTTGCTGCTCCCTGCCCTGTCTCATTGTGTGTTCTTACCTTATTTTCCCCATTCCCAGTGCTGCAGGTCCCTTGTGGCAGCCCCGAACCTCTGCGGGCCATCAGCTGCTACCAGAGTCAGCCCAGCAGCAAAGATGGCTTTTCTCTGCTCCTCTGTTTTGACTTTGGTCACATGCCTGTTATTTCTCAAATTTGTGTTTTTCTGTGTCTGGGAACACTGTGTATTCATGACAAATATCAAGTTCCATAAGTTGATTAGTACTGGTGAAATTCTGCTGGCAGTTAGACTAAATAAACTGCAGCTAAATAAACTCCAGCCATGAAGCTTAGTGGAAGTTCTGAACTTGTTTTTCTATCACTGTATGCCTACATTGCTTAAAATGATTCGCCTCACCCACTTTAACTAGACAGTCCCTTCATCAGGCAGGTGATACTCAGCATATCCTGGCATATACCTAATTCTGGAGGAACTTCCCTTTTATGTCTTTTATTTCCCTAAAGTAAGTATGGTAGAGAGTCAGAAAGACTGGGGACCAGCAGTTAGCGTAATGGCTGTGTTGCTGGACTCCCGTGTAGTTGACCGTGGTTCGAGTCCCAGACCCGGTGACTTAAACTCATGTCGGGTGCATGTGCGTGTGTGCCCAAGATCCCGAGAGGAGAATGGAGGAGAAGGGATTGTGGCGTGGCCATCCCCCCAGGGGTGATTTCTTTCTGGTGAGCACACGTGCCCTATAGCAAAAACCGCTCAAAAAAAAAAAAAAAAGAGTCAGAAGGACTGATTCACTTAGAGCTGTGTGGCCTGGGCATGTCACTTAACCTCTGTCTCCTCCTCTTGGCTTTTTCACTAATGAGATGGGGTATTATACTCTCTGTCTTGTTGGGCTATTACAAGGATTGGAGAATATAAATGCATATATGTGTGTGTGTGTATACATTGTATATATATATATTTGTACTTATATATAAATATTTATATATTTAAAACTCACAAGTTCATTGAGTTTTCTAGGGCTGCAATTCAGACACTATAATTTTATCTTCTTGCATTTTGCAAAGGACTCTTAATTTTTAATGCTGCACAAACAGTGCAAAGACCAGACTGTGGGTACCTTACTCAGAAAGTAGCCCCTTCCCAGAACCTTATTCCTCTACGGGTGGACAGCACACACCCAGTTCTGCCCTGGCCTCTGGTATTTTCTGTCTCCAGGGGGGAAAGGCCATTCCTCTCTTCAGGCCTTTTGTAGACTGTTCTCCCTGCAGTGGATACATTTGGTGGCCCAGGGCTCTTCTGACTAGCTTTTGCTTGCCACAGCTTTCTGCAAAATCTCCACTTTCATCTTCAGAATCTCAAATACCCAGGCCCTGCTTGGAGGGTAGCCACTTCCTGTGTCACGTCTCCTCTGTTCCAAACTCCCACAAGGTTTCTGTTAGTCAGGAGGTCCAGCTTGCCAGGGAGAGAATATTAGGAAGAGCCCAGAGGGTGTGGCCTTCAGGGAGGTAGACCCAGTGTGTGTGAAGGTTACTCTTCATTTCTGGCCATGGTCCCTTGATAATTCTGAGTCCTGTAGCTTCCAGGTTCCAGGCAGTAATTTGAGGTGGGTGCTTCCATTTCTGAATTGACAACTGAGGTTTTGAATTGAGCACTGAGACTCCACTAACTTGTTCTGTTTTTTTTTTTTTTTTCCTTGTCTCATACAATCCCAAGAGAGACCTCTACCATCTTGTAAAGTGAAGTTTATTTTGTAAGTGCCCGAAGGATGGTGCCTCCATTCCTCTCATCAGTTCTAGAGCTGCGGTTCACAACCGCTTTCTGCAGAGGGCCAGAGAATGCCTTTTCCAGTCTTCGTAGGACCACTGTCTGCTGCAAGTACTCGGCTCTGCTGTTGTGCCAGGAAAACAGCCAGAGAATATGTCAACGAACAGGCATGGTAGTAGAAATACCATGGGCACGACTTCAAATTTCATATCATTTTTGCATGTTATAAAATATTACTCTTCTTTTGATTTTTCCCCAACCATTTGAAAAGGTAAAAAACCATCCTTAGTTTGCAGGTCATTCAAAAACAGGTATGGCCAGGTGTGGCTACCTGGCTTGAGAGAAATCATCTATTCAAGAGCGTCATTGTTCAGAGTGTTGTGGGTCTTGAGGTGAGATTACTAACAACTGCAGAGTATTTAGTAGCTGTGTTTTCAAGGAATTTCATAGGAAAGTGAGTTTCCAAATGAATATGTCTTCTGCAAATAAAATTTACTCTCCTGATGGATCTTCCTCTAGTGGACGGAGTTACTCATCCTCAGAAAAGGAGAGAAGAGGCAGAATCACCAGCCCTACGAATGGTTGGAGACTCGGTACAAGACGCACTTACTCACCGGTCTGTCAAGTTAGCATTTCCATTTCTTTCTTACCTTCTTGTTTACAGAGATCATGAATTCCACCCACTGCGATAATGACCAAAATTGAAATGAACTGAAAGTTTGCTAAGTTCCACAAAAGAAAGACAAGTAAGTCCTGAGCTAACAACAGGTATTCAGGAGTCCTACTGTTCTGTACCTTGCTCTCAAGATCAGTTCAAACACAGAAAGCTGCTCGAGTCCTGCCTTGTGAGAGGTCATTGATGTCCCAAACTCATGTTAATATTAAGACGTATGTGATTTAATAGAAGAGCGAAGTTAACTTTATTGCCCGCACTTTTGTTGAAGATTTTTGCATTTTTGTTCATCAGGGACATTGACCTTTAATTTCCTTTCCTTGTAGTGTTATTTTTAATTTAATTTAATTTAATGTTATATTTTATTATTTTTTTTGAGAGGTTTTCTTTTGCTATAGGGTGTGTGCGCTCACCAGAAAGACATAGAGACACAGAGAGACAGAAAGCGAGAAATCACCCCCCAGGGGGGATGGCATGCTGCAATCCCTTTTCCTCCATTCTTCTCTCGGGATCTTGGGCATGCATGCACATGCACCCGGCGTGAGTTTAAGTCACCAGGTCCAGGACTCGAACCACGACTGACTACATGAGAGTCCAGCAACATAGCCATTATGCCATCTGCTGGTCCCGATTTATTACTATTCTTTTTTAGAGAGATTTTTGCTATAGGGCATGTGTGCTTGCCAGAGAGTCAGAGAGAGGTTGAGAGACAGAAAGCCAGAAATCACCTCCTCAGAGGGAATGGCCACACTGCAATCCCTTCTCTATTCTTTGGGATTTTGGGCACACACACATGCACATGCTTGAGGTGAGTTTTAAGCCACCAAGTCCAGGACTTGAACCACAGTCAACTATTTGAGAGTCCAGCGATGTAACTACGGATGTCATCTGCTGGTCCTGCTTGGAGTGTTTTCTTTAGAGTTTACTTCTTTATTGGATTGGGGAGGGGGGGCACTGGCAGGGCACTGCCACTCTCTTCCCTTGAGCCCTCCAGTCAGCTAGGATCATAGGTGTGCCTGTGGCCATTTCTGGCATGGTCAGCTCAGGATTGGAACCTATGACTCCCGTGTTATGCGGTGGCATCCTACTGTCTGCCCCGCCATAGCAGTGCCTTTCTTGTAATGTCTTAAGGGCCATTGATAACAGGGTAATACTGGCCTTATAAAATGAGCTAAAAGTGTTCCTTCCTTTTTCATTTTGGTAAGAGTTTGAGAAGGATTAGTTTTCAATTCTTTAAATGCTTGGTAGAATTCACATGTGAAGCCATCAGGTCCTCGGCCTTTCTTTGTTGAAAAGTTTGCATTATTCCTTCAATTTCCTTCCTTGCTATTGGTCTGTTTAAATGTTATGTTTCTTCACATTTCTGTCTTGACATGTTGTATGTTTCTAGGAATTTATTTTATTTTTTTCTTTTGGGTTTCTAACTTGTTAGTACATAATTGTCTATAATAATCTCATAATCCTTTGTAGTTCTGTGGTATTAGTTGTGATATCTCCTCTTTCATTTTTTGGTTTTATTTATTGGAGTTCTTCCTCTTTTCTCGTGGTTAGTATAGCTGAAGGTTTGTCAATTTTGTTGACCTTTTGATTGCCTTTAATTTATTTCTGCTCTGATCTTTGTTACTTCGAAATATAAAATTTGGCTGTCTGAGATCTTTTTATTCTCTTAATATAAGTATTCACCACTATAAAGCGCCCTCTTAGAACCACTTTGGTTACATCCCATACATTTAGATATGTTGAGTTTCCATTTTCGTTTGACTTAAAATACATTTTTATTTCTCTTTTGATTCTTTGACCACTGATTCTTTTTTTTTTTTTTTTGGAGAGGTTTTTGCTATAGGGCGTGTGCTTGCCAGACAGAGAGAGACATAGAGACAGAAAGCGAGAAATCACCCTCCAGGGGGTATTGCCACGCCACAATTCCTTCTCCTCCATTCTCCTCTCGGGATCTCGGGCACACACGCACACATGCCCAGCCTGAGTTTTAAGCCACCAGGTCCAGGACGCAAACTGCGGTCGACTACGTGGGAGTCCAGCGACATAGCCATTACGCTAACTGCTGGTTCCCCTTTGACCACTGATTCTTCAGAAGTGTTTTGTTCAACTTCCACATATGCATGAATTTAATAAACTTCCTTCTGTTAATGATTTCTAGTTTTAAAAAATGTGATTGGATGAAACACTTGATATGATTTTAATCTTAAATTTCTTAATATTTGTTTTGCGGCTAGTGTATGGTCTTGCCTAGAAAATGTTTTTCTGTGTTTGAGTGGAGTGTGTATTTTGCTGCCATGGGGAGGAATGTCCTACATACATCCACTATTTCTATTTGCTCCCTAGTGTAATTGTCACTTAGGTTATATAGGTTAGCTTATTTCTTTATTGAATTTCTGCCAGGATGATCGATCCATTGTTGAAATGAGATATTAAGATATCCTCCTTTTTGGGGTCAGCAGATGGGATAGAGAGTATGTCGCTGGACTCCAACATGGCCAACTGCAGTTTGAGTACCAGATCTGGTGACTTGAAACTCATGCCGGGCACGTGTGTGTGTGCCCAAGATGCTGAGAGGAG